TCTTCTGGATCATCCAAATGCACTCTAGCAAACTTCAGACGGGCCTGGACATGTACTGGCTGAAGCAGGGGGACACGTCTGGCACTGCAGGATTTGAGTCCCTGGCGGCGTAGTGTGTTACTGATGGTAGGCTTTGTTACTTTGGTCCCAGCTCTCTGCAGGTAATTCACTAGGTCCCCCCGTGTGGTTCTCGGATTTTTGCTCACCGTCCTTGTGATCATTTTGACCCCACGGGGTGAGATCTTGCGTGGAGCCCCAGATCGAAGGAGATTATCAGAGGTCTTGTATGTCTTCCATTTCCTAATAATTGCTCCCACAGTTGATTTCTTCAAACCAAGCTGCTTACCTATTGCATATTCAGTCTTCCCAGCCTGGTGCAGGTCTACAATTTTGTTTCTGGTGTCCTTTGACAGCTATTTGGTCTTGGCCATAGTGGAGTTTGGAATGTGACTGTTTGAGGTTGTGGACAGGTGTCTTTTATACTGATAACAAGTTCAAACAGGTGCCATTATTACAGGTAAAGAGTGGAGGACAGAGGAGCCTCTTAAAGAAGAAGTTACAGGTCTGTGAGAGCCAGAAATATTGCTTGTTTGTAGGTGACCAAATACTTATTTTCCACCATAATTTGCAAATAAATTCATTAAAAATCCTACAATGTGATTTTCTGGAATTTTTTTTCTCAATTTGTCTGTCATAGTTGACGTGTACCTATGATGAAAATTACAGGCCTCTCTCATCTTTTTAAGTGGGAGAACTTGCACAATTGGTGGCTGACTAAATACTTTTTTCCCCCACTGTATGTTGTAAAAAAAAAGAGTGTTTTATTTATTTAAAACTTCAACAATGCCCTTGTCTTCTGTGCTCTATTATAACAGTAATACTGTGGTATCCTATACTGTGGTATTCTATACTGTGGTATCCTATACTGTGGTATCCTATACTGTGGTATCCTATACTGTGTTATTCTATACTGTGGTATCCTATACTGTGGTATCCTATGCTGTGGTATCCTATACTGTGGTATTCTATACTGTGGTATCCTATACTGTGGTATCCTATACTGTGGTATTCTATACTGTGGTATCCTATACTGTGGTATTCTATGCTGTGGTATCCTATGCTGTGGTATCCTATGCTGTGGTATCCTATACTGTGGTATTCTATACTGTGGTATCCTATACTGTGGTATCCTATGCTGTGGTATCCTATACTGTGGTATCCTATACTGTGGTATTCTATACTGTGGTATCCTATACTGTGGTATCCTATACTGTGGTATCCTATACTGTGGTATCCTATACTGTGGTATCCTATACTGTGGTATTCTATACTGTGGTATCCTATACTGTGGTATCCTATACTGTGGTATCCTATACTGTGGTATTCTATACTGTGGTATCCTATACTGTGGTATCCTATACTGTGGTATCCTATACTGTGGTATTCTATACTGTGGTATCCTATACTGTGGTATCCTATACTGTGGTATCCTATGCTGTGGTATCCTATGCTGTGGTATCCTATACTGTGGTATTCTATACTGTGGTATCCTATACTGTGGTATCCTATGCTGTGGTATCCTATACTGTGGTATCCTATACTGTGGTATTCTATACTGTGGTATTCTATACTGTGGTATCCTATACTGTGGTATCCTATACTGTGGTATCCTATACTGTGGTATCCTATACTGTGGTATCCTATACTGTTATCCTATACTGTGGTATCCTATACTGTGGTATCCTATACTGTGGTATTCTATACTGTGGTATCCTATACTGTGGTATCCTATGCTGTGGTATCCTATACTGTGGTATCCTATACTGTGGTATCCTATACTGTGGTATCCTATACTGTGGTATCCTATACTGTGGTATCCTATACTGTGGTATTCTATACTCTGGTATTCTAGTAGGAGAGTGTATAAAAGTGTAGTACTCCGAGTGTAATGACAGTGTTTCTGATTAAATATGTGATCTAACTGCCCCACAATATAAAGTAGTAAGGTTTATATAGTAATATATAAAAGTAATCAGACCAATTAATCAGACCTACATTTAACTTTGACTATATTTAACTGCTTTGTTTAAGTAAAACTTTTTTAACTTCTTCAACTACCACAAAAATTCCTTTAAACAGATAAAGCAAGTCCCACAATTTTACTTAAAAACCATCTACAGTGAGGGACAAAAAGTATTTGATCCCTGCTGATTTTGTACGTTTGCCCACTGACAAAGAAATTATCAGTCTATAATTTTAATGGTAGGTTTATTTGAACAGTGAGAGACAGAATAACAACAAAAAAATCCAGAAAAACGCATGTCAAAAATGTTATAAATTGATTTGCATTTTAATGAGGGAAATAAGTATTTGACCCCCTCTCAATCAGAAAGATTTCTGGCTCCCAGGTATATTTTATACAGGTAACGAGCTGAGATTAGGAGCACACTCTTAAAGGGAGTGCTCCTAATCTCAGCTTGTTACCTGTATAAAAGACACCTGTCCACAGAAGCAATCAATCAATCAGATTCCAAACTCTCCACCATGGCCAAGACCAAAGAGCTCTCCAAGGATGTCAGGGACAAGATTGTAGACCTACACAAGGCTGGAATGGGCTATAAGACCATCGCCAAGCAGCTTGGTGAGAAGGTGACAACAGTTGGTGTGATTATTTGCAAATGGAAGAAACACAAAAGACCTGTCAATCTCCCTCGGCCTGGGGCTCCATGCAATGATCATGAGAACGGTGAGGAATCAGCCCAGAACTACACGGGAGGATCTTGTCAATGATCTCAAGGCAGCTGGGGCCATAGTCACCAAGAAAACAATTGGTAACACACTACGCCGTGAAGGAGTTTACATACACCTTAGCCAAATACATTTAAACTCTGTTTTTCACAATTCTTGACATTTAATCCTAGCAATAATTCCCTGTCTCAGGTCAGTTAGGATCACCACTTTATTTTAAGAATGTGAAATGTCAGAATAATAGTAGAGAGAATGATTTATTTCAGCTTTTACTTCTTTCATCACATTCCCAGTGGGTCAGAAGTTTACATACACTCAATTAGTATTTGGTATCAATATTCCGTGCCCCCAACAAATACATGCAGTATTAGGCCATGGAACACATTCATTGGCCAGTGAGTGGCCAAGCCCTCGTCACACCTACAACTTATTTATTCATCAAAACCCCAGCCCTTTCGCGCCACCGCCAGCTATTGCGCACATAATTCCCGCTGTGAAAAATATACAAAATATTTTGGACACAGCCTTTGACCAACAGCCCTACCTCCAGATTTACCATTGTGTTAGGTTTTGTTAAAATAGAGCCCTGGTTGTCTCACTCACTAACGCTGATACTTGCTTCTCAATGGTAAACATTTAGTCATGTATGATGTCATCCATTGTATACAGCATTGATGTTTCATATCCAAGAGGTCAGGGGAAAGTAGAAAATGGAGAAGAGGATGGAGAAGAGTGATTAAAGGAGGGGTGAGAGATTGAGCATGTTACAAAGTGCTCAATGTTTAACATTTACTATTAGAGTTTTCATAAGAGGAGAAAATGTCATATTCAGGCAGATTGACAGTAGATTTTCAGGTTAAATATGGGAAATCAGATATATATTATAAGATAGATATAACGTTTTAAAAGTGTTAAACAATGTGAGGAGTTTTAAGAAACAGATGCAAATAATGTATGCACTCACTAACTGTAAGTCGCTCTGGATAAGAGCGTCTGCTAAATGACTAAAATGTAAATGTAAAATGTAATGTCATGGTTCTGTATGTTAGCTCAAATGAAGAATAAGGTGTCCCATGCAGTCAACAATGTGTCTCTGTGCTCTGAGTTTTGTGTGTGTGTGTGTGTGTGTGTGTGTGTGTGTGTCCGTGTGTGTGTGAGAGAGAGAGAGAGATACACAGGTGGGAGGAGGGAGAGGCAGACAGATTATGAGTAAACTGTCTGAAGTGACCTGCTGATACTGGGAGAGAGAGAGAGAGCGAGAGAGAGAGAGAGAGCGAGCGAGCGAGAGAGAGAAAGAGAGCTCCTATGGTTATAATGATGAACTTAGCCTTACTATGCTCTTGGTAAACTGGGCCCTGGCTCGTTGCAAGATGATTGTTTACTCTACTGCTTACAACTCTTGATGTAAAGCAAATATACCACTTGTGCAGCCTTTGCGCCAATAACATTTTAGTCATTTAGCAGGCGCTCTTATCCAGAGCAATTAGGGTTAAGTGCCTTGCTCAAGGGCACATCGACAGATTTTTCACCTAGTCGGCTCGGGGATTAGAACCAGCGACCTTTCGGTTACTGGCACAACGCTCTTAACCACTACGCTACCTGCCGCCCCTATAACCTCTGACATCTTAGTGCTGTCTTACATTTCAGCTACATGCAGCATACAGCAGGAATCAGTTATATCTGAATATTATAAAAATAAATAACCTGTGAATCCTGTGTCTTCTCACAACTTGTTCATCAACTGTTCAGAAACCATTCAGAGATGGGATAAAGCTTGATATATATCAACAAGTTATCTGCCAATTTACGGCTCTGACCCATAATCCAATAAAATCTATACTGGCTAATCTGAATGTTTCAGAGATCTCTAGGACTTCATAGTAGACGGGAATTGTAGATGTAACTGTTTTTAATAATTTGGGGTTTGTAATAATGAAAACAAAAGGTATGAGGATATGTTTGAGTGAGTGTGTGTGTTGTATGAGTGTGTCTGTTGCATGAGTATGTGCAGACAGATCCTCTTCTCTCCTCTCATCATCTCAACCTAAGTGTTTAGTCAACAGAACCCAATGGGCCTCCAATAGTCACAGGTTGACACCGGGCCAAATTTGGAGAGCCATAAAGCCTCTTAGGAGAGAACCTTCTTACAATTCCCTTTCCTTGAACAACATCTGTAAATAGACCACACAAAGATCCTTAAGCCAAAATCCCTCCCAGGTATTTAATTCTAAAGGAGTAATTACTGGGTGTGTCTTAGGTCTGCAGGTACGTGTGGTGTTGTCGCTCATTCGCGCCCTAGCTTTGGAGCGAGTTGCACATTCACACAGACACGCTCACTCAGAAACACACTGCACGAAGCAAGGGATCCTAAGGAACTGCTGAAGAACCCAGTCACGTAGGGGGGGACAGACCAGACGAAGCCACCAAGATGTGTGACATGGGGGGATTGGATAACCTGGTGGCCAACACGGCCTACCTGAAAGCCCAGGGTGGCGATGACAAGGAGATGAAGAAGCGTCGCCGGAGTTTGTCACTGCCCCCGGCCGAGCAGTGTGCCGCCATCCGGACCACCATTGATAAGAACTTTGAGTCGCTCTGTGAGAGGCAGCCAATCGGCAAGAAGTTTTTCCGGCAGTTCCTGGCTGCTACCCCAGAGTACATCAATGCCGCTGAGTACCTGGACGAGCTGAATGACTGGGATCTGGCGGAAGGCGCTGATAAGGAAAAGCAGAGGGCGAACATGATGACAAAGTTTTGCAAGGCCGACTCCAAGAACTTTCTGACTTACCTCACCGGGGAGGTAGCCGACAAGTGTAAGGCAGTGACGGACAAGGACTTTGACGAAGTGATGAACGTCAAGGTGAAGGAAGCTACACGAGAGTTTCTGAAAGACAAGCCCTTCACGGACTACCAAACTAGCCCCTTCTTTGACAAATTCCTGCAGTGGAAGGAGTACGAGAAGCAGCCCATCAGTGATAAAACCTTTTATGAGTTCAGAACTCTGGGCAAGGGAGGTTTCGGAGAGGTAAGCATTCAGAAACCAATACAGCAGCATCATGTCTTTGCAATACCGGCAAAATGACTACGTGTCAGTAATATGTATCTGCAATATTATCTCTTTAATGAATGTAAAAAAAAAAAAAAAAAATGTGGCAACAGGACAATTCACAAAAGAAAAAATTATGCACAGAATCAATGATTAATACCATGTTGTCGTTCCCATAGTTTCACTGATGCAGTGTCTATAAGTACAAAGTACACCTCAGTTAACTTGCAAAGAGCTAATCTCTCGCTAATCCCCCACCAGAGATGACCCGCGGTTCTTAAGCACAGAATCAGTTTCATCACATCTTTACTACTCTATGCATACTTTCAAGCTTGTATCATTATCGAGTTGTTCTGCAAGATGAATATTGTCAATGAAAGCACTGTGTCAGTATCAAATCTGAGCGTCATGAGGTGCCATTTATAAAACCCTCAGGGAACTTTGCTGAGGTATTCAGGAGTCCTTTTAACCCACGGTCTCCCTCTGTCCAGGTATGTGCCGTACAGGTGAAGAACACAGGCCAGATGTACGCCTGCAAGAAGCTGTGCAAGAAGCGCCTGAAGAAGAAACATGGTGAGAAGATGGCCCTGCTGGAGAAGCAAATCCTGGAAAAGGTCAACAGCCTGTTCCTTGTCAACCTGGCCTATGCCTACGACACCAAGACCCACCTGTGCCTCGTCATGACCCTGATGAACGGCGGAGACCTCAGGTACCACATCTATTACGTCAGTGAGAAGACCAAAGGTATCGAGATGCCACGCATCATCTACTACACAGCGCAGATCTGCACAGGCATTCTTCACCTGCATGAAATGGATATCATATACCGTGACATGAAGCCCGAGAACGTGCTGCTGGACAGCTTTGGCCAGTGCCGACTCTCTGATCTGGGTCTGGCCGTGGAGCTGCCCGCTGGAAAGACAATCTCCCAGAAGGTAAGCCTGTTGAAGTTGGGTTTTCAAGAACTTGTAGTTGACTGTGGCTTTGGGAAACTATCGAAAGTCGGGAGCAGTAGGGATGGTGGAGAATGAGTATGAAGAGATGATGATGATGATGTCATGACAATGAAGACAGAGAGTTGATGACGTGAAAGGTTCCTTTATGATTACGATCTGATAGCAAGCTTGCAGCGTTGACCTTTTCAACATAGCGTGACAATTTGGATGGTTACTGGATTGTTCAGGATCTGTCCAAGAGGAGTCTCTGCCTCCATTATATAACCCAGGGATGGGCAAGATGGAGGCGCGGTGGCTTTAAAAACGTGCCCCCCGTCAGTCATCTAGTGTATATATAAATCATTGATCTACACCAGGGATGGGCAACTTTGATGGGGGTGGGGACCACGAAAAATCTGAACTCATCATGAGGGGCCGCAGTGGGTCCTGGGTCTGCGTACCCACATCAGTACCCACACATGCAGTCAGAGCATGCCCTAGCCTTTTTGGAGCCTTAAGTGAAATTTGGTCGGGGGGCCCCCCTCACCTTGCGAGCAAAACATTTTAGCGGCCCCCCTCTCTTGACAACGGAGAGAAAAATACATCTTTCCTGTAGAGAAGATTTTGCAATTTTATAACTCATTTCCTGCAATTCTACTCATTTTGCCATAGGGTGGAGGGAAATGTTTGCCGTTTTTAATATGATATCTGAGAGAGAGTGACTAACAGAATCAATGGGGGCCCCCCAGTCGGTAAATCGACAATGATTACTACAAGATAGCTGGCTAGACTAACTTAGCAATCTAAAAATGTTTAGCTGACATACGCTAATTGAGTGACTATCAGTGACATAACAATAGAGAAACTGCTGATGCACAACCAAATGTCAAAATTGCATTTAGTGTATTCCCCCCAAAAAAAGTTATTTATCTTTGGAAATTGCCAGTTGCCCATCCTTGATATAACCGATTTGATCCTTAGTGGGTGGTTATTTTAGCCCAGACAATTATAGGACGACCATTTTGGGGGCTGAGTGACTGCGTTGTAAGTAGAGTTGGGGGTTGGGTTGGGTGTGTCAGAGGTGTCCTCTTGATCTCTACAGTGACAAGGAGATTATTATGTCCAGCCCCTAAACTCCTTGGAGACTGCCTAAACTCATGGGAACAGCATCTTTGTGCTATATAAAGACAGGCAAGATGTATGTAGCCTCTTGAGACCGTAGAACAGTCTACATTTACATTTCAGTCATTTAGCAGACGCTCTTATCCAGAGCGACTTACAGTTAGTGAGTGCATACATTTTTTTTTCTTCATACTGGTCCCCAGTGGGAATCGGACACACAACCCTGCTGTTGCAAGCGCCATGCTCTACCAACTGAGCTACACGGGACTATTCTAAGGTCTCTATGTGGGGTGTCTGTTTGCCCAACCAGGATAAAAACAATTGGTCATCAAAACCAAATCTGACCAATCAAAAGACACAGGACAGGAGTTTGCAAGTCAACAAACCAGAGAAACAGATACTTTAGAAGCATCTCCCTTGGTTAAGTCAACCATTTCATTCAGGGAAGACAAGGCTAATTGTGTTAATTAATTGTGCTAATTGTGTTGTTACCTGGGTGTTTGACTGATACTTGATGAAAAATGCATCTTAGGGAGACTTTTACCTGTTCTTAAGATGCTGTGTGTATGTCTATAAATCCTGTGAACCAGTCTACCATTAGCTTTCCTGTAAAATGATTTGTCACAGAGTTTTGCAGATTGGGGCATCTCTACAGGCCAATGAAGAGTAAGATGCAGGCTCTACAGAAGCCCAGTAAGCTCATTATCCAGAGCTCTTCTCTTGTCCTCCTCGGCAGACCGGGGAGCCTGGACTTAGGCATGGCTGGCTTTGGCTTTCTAAGCCTCTTACTTAGCAGGCATTACACAAATCAGTCCCCTGATCAGACTAGCAAAACCAGGTTAACCTTAGGCACAGTTTGTGTGTATTAATGAATGTCTGTATAGTGGCATCCTTTTGGGGGTCTAGTTACAATTTTTGCCAATGCAGTGTATTCATGAGGCCTTAGATCTACGGAATTAGAGGTCAAAGTTTGCACCAGCTGTTTGGCCAATGTCCTTACTGCGTCCATGCTGGACCAATCAGGTGTTTGGAGAGCTTTGATTTGACCAGTCACAGGGAGTAGTCCATAGCTGTCCTCTTTTGGAGAGGTGTTTTCAATGTAGTTAGCATTTAAGCGCGGGTCAAAAGTCAACCGAAAGATGGGAGTGCCACGTCCATTTCTGTGTACAAGGAGAAATCTGGCAAGCAGTCCTGCTTTAGCTCATGTAGGATAAATGCTAATAGGCACCTAAGAACAGATCTTACCCGTGGTATATTGGCCATATACCACACCCCCTCGGGCCTTATTGCTTAAATAGACACCTGATACCAGTCAGCCAAGGTGAAAAGCCCTTGAAATCATGCTAAAGATCTAATGTATAGTGCTGTGTTAGTGTCATCCTCTAGAATACAGGACCACAGGGATCTCCAGGATGTATCGCTATGCACATTTGTAATGCAATGTTTGTGCATGGTTATGCATATAGATGTGTTGTGTGTGTGTGTGTGTGTGTGTGTGTGTGTGTGTGTGTGTGTGTGTGTGTAGTTTACAGTATATGCTGCATGTGGTTACTCACTAGAGTCCATGGATTGACATCCTTTATGTAAGCAGAAGGAGAGATCCGTCACCATGGATGCACACATGACTCTTGACAGGTAGAGAGAGATTAGCATTAAGCTACTTGTCCCAAGCTATGGCTGAAGTCAGGAAGGAGCATAGGAGGAACTAGAGAGAGACAGGAAGAAGAGGGCTTATATAAAACAGCAAATGGCTGTGTTCATAGTTCCTGTTTTATATAAGCCCTCCCTGTCCCTCTCTCTCTGTCGCTCTCTAGTCATTCCTAAGATCCTGCCTAACCTCATGTTCCTGGTCTTATCCTCCCTAGGTCTCACCTGGTCTCATCCTCACTAGGTCTCACCTGGTCTCATCTTCGCTAGTCCAAGGCTAGCACTTCTCAGACCAGGCTAGTAGAAAATGTGCCAAACTAACACTAAAACATAATTTATGTCTAATCACATCTCATGGTATAGACCCCTGGCAAGTAGAATTTCACTCAGGCTGTTCCTTCCTCATCATGTGCATCAGCTTCCCGATAACCCATTATAACTGGCATCGGCATGCTCTCATTATCTGTCATGCTTTAAGATACATTTTGACTTTTGGGAAACAGGTAACAGATACAGTAGAGAAGGAACTGTAGTGATGGTTAGTATCACTTCTAAAACCATGTTACCCATACCATGTGATGGATCTGATATCATGACAGGAACAAATGAGCTGATATTTCAAACATACTGTAGGATGATGAGTTGTCCTCTAATTGTTTCCATCTTTCTTCCATTCTTCCTGAATCTCTCTTCTGCCTTCCCTACACCGTCCCAGGCTGGAACCGGAGCGTACATGGCCCCTGAGATCCTGAACGAAGTTCCCTACAGGACATCAGTGGACTGGTGGGCGCTGGGCTGCAGTATTTACGAGATGGTGGCCGCCTACACTCCGTTCAAGGGTCCCGAATCCGGGAAGCAGAAGGTGGAGAAGGAGGAGGTGCAGCGTCGCATCTGCAAAGAGGAACCGCCATGGGAGCACAAGAACTTCGACGCGCCCACCAAGGCCATCATCCAGGAGTTCCTCAAGAAGAATATCGACGAACGCCTGGGCTGCAAGTAAGAGCATCAGTCCATCCAGGCTACCATTAATAATATAATATACGCAATAATAGCAATTCTCTATTCTCTACTGATGCTGTCATTTATGAAGAAACAGCCCTTTCAAGTCAGGTAGCTCACCACAGCTGGCATAATACCTCAATTACCTCGACTAACCTGTGCCCCCGCACATTGACTCTGTACCGTATTTTGTAGTTATCTATTTTTTACTTAACACTTATTTTTCTTAAAACTGCATTGTTAGTTAAGGGTTTGTAAGTAAGCATTTCACTGTAAGGTCTACACCTGTTGTATTCGGCACATGCGACAAATACAGTTTGATTTGATTTGATAAAAGCATTTTGCTAGCTTGATGACCAGGGTTGGGGTCAATTCCTTTTCAATTACAGTCAATTCAGAAAGTAAACCAAATTCCAATTCCACATTTTCTTAATTGAAAAGCATTGCAGAGAATTGGAATGTGAATGTACTTCCTGAATCGACAGGAATTATAATAGAATTGACCCCAAACCTGTTGTTGGCTAACATGCGAGCATGCTGATGCAACATAGATTTTCAACTCAGTTGTCAGTCAACTACCTACATTAGTTGATCAAGGCAGTATCAATAGTATCCAATGTACTCCGCAAACAACTGGTTTAATACATTTTTCAGAACACAGTATTTTAGTTTGTTTGTTCAACTGTATTTATTGCTGAGTTAACTGTGACGTTAGCCTAGTTAGCTAGTTAGCCTTCACCTGCCAGTATGATGCTCATACGGATGTGTCAAAAAACTTTCCTCCACAGGGGAGGAGGTGAGGACCCCCGTAAGCACGAATGGTTCAAGGCCATCAACTTTCCTCGTCTGGAGGCTGGTTTGATCGACCCCCCTTGGGTGCCCAAGCCCAACGTGGTCTATGCCAAGGACACTGGCGACATTGCTGAGTTCTCCGAGATCAAGGGCATTGTGTTCGACGCCAATGACGAGAAGTTCTTCAAGGAGATTGGCACGGGAGCCGTGGCCATTCCATGGCAACAGGAGATGATTGATACGAACCTGTTTGACGAGCTGAACGACCCCAACAGGAAAGAGTCTGCTGGGGGTGGTGACGGGGAGGGGAAGTCTGGCACATGCACGTTGCTGTGAGCAGCCAAAGCTGGCACATATAAACACCAGTATATACACCAATACATGGCACCAATACATCAATTGATTCGCTCATGTTCTGTCAAATTCTTGTGAAACATTACACACAGAAATAATTGAACAAAATGCATTATTTTACACAAGGGAGGAGAGCAGCAGGAGACAGAGAGAGATGAGGTATCCTTCACTGGACCGGGTCAGTTGCCATTGATTTTAGTAATATGGGTCGAAAGTTCCCTGAGCTTCCAAGCAAATAGGAGGGTAAAAGGTGACTACCAAGATTTGTATTGTCAATTCAGATTGCAGCTACTCCCAGATGTTTCTCATGATGTAGTAGTGCCCTCCTGGCCAACAGGGGTCGTAAGAGTAGAATATAACAAATTCATGTTGTGGATAAAACATTTTTAAAATGATTAATGGATAAATACAGGCCTCTGTTTACATACAGCTTGCACCAGAAGATTAGTGCTAACCCTAGCCATTGGCCACAATGGAGCACAGTATGCTACATTTACTAGTTTGGGAATATGGTTGGGATCTCGTTCTTGATTGTGTTCCATTAATTGAATGTGATAGAGGCCAGGTTTTTTTCAACCCCCCCCCCCCCCTAAAGGCAGAGGTGCTAACTTTTTTGGGTCAAATATTTCATGAGATCAATGTCTCTATGGACATTTCTAACTAAATGTGACAGAGATTTATTTACCTATAGTGACTAAACCGATTGAAGTCGATCACTAAATTTCCAAGCAGGTGGACTTTCCAATCCAGCATCTAGTTCTATTTGTAAACACTATTATAAAGGCCTCCCGAGTGGCGCAGTGGTCTAAGCTGTGTCACTAGAGATCCTGGTTCGAATCCAGGCTCTGTCGTAGCCGGCCGCAACTGGGAGACCCATGGGGCAGCGCACAATTGGCCCGGCGTCGTCCAGGTTATGGGAGGGAATGGCCGGCAGGGATGTAGCTCAGTTGGTTGAGCATGGTGTTTGCAACTCCAGGGTTGTGGGTTCGATTCCCATGGGGGCCAGTATAAAAATAATATAAAAATAATAAAAAATAATGTATGCACTCACTAACTGTAAGTCACTCTGGATAAGAGCATCTGCTAAATGACTAAAATATAAACGGCGTTGTATATAAATATGTATATCTATGCATTGACAGGGGAGAAATCCACAGATTAAGTGCTAGTCATGACTGGATGAATGCTCAACTCTCGTGGGCTGTGAAGGTTCTATGCCCTGGTTTCTCAGGAAAAGCCAGTAGGACTCTATGATTGAACATTGAGAAGAGTTGGGCTAGGCCAACAATGTGTTCCTGTACCAGGAATATCTATTTGCCCCCCCAACTTTAACTGGAAAATTGCTTCCATGCATGTGATTTGTCTGAAGTTCGAGATACGTGTACAAATCTGAAGTTAGAATCTAGTTAGCTTTCAAAACGTTTAACCAAAAAATCACAGTTCCCTTGTTTGTTGTCTCAGGGCTAAGACTTATTTCATATAATAATAATAATAATAATATATTATTATTATTATATAACTTTAAATTGACTAACTTTATTATATTATGAATATAAATATGATAAACATACTTGTAAATATAATTTGAGAGGAAAACATTACGTATGCTACTGTAGGAACATCTGACATTTATCAGGGATTTGCTTGAATCTTGAGTTATTTGAAGAAATAAAAATATATGTATTTTAAAGCTTGTGTTTTTCTTACTACCTCCGATGGTACTTCACTATTGTACTTGTGCGTGTGTGTTTCTGTGTGTGTGTTTGTGTGTGTGTGTGTGTGTGTGTTTGCTCTTGTGTGAAAGCACTTTTCATTCATTTCGCTCAGGTTGCTGCATTAGGAATTAAACAGCTGAACATAAGATTGACATGCTGTCTAGACCGGGCACGTGCGTGCGTCCGCCATCGCGCGCATGTTTATTTTGTCCATCCACACCAGACACAATCAGGACACGCAAGTTGAAATATCCAAATGAACTCTGAACCAACTATATACACATTTGGGGACAGGTCGAAACATATGAAACATTCATGGCCATTTAGCTAGCTAGCTTGCTGTTGCTAGCTAATTTGTCCTGGGATATAAACATTGGGTTGTTATTTTACCTTGAAATGCATATGCTCCTTTTTTTCTGGATCTTTGTAGAATTCTGACCTATTTTGAGTCACACAAAATCATGTGTTCTCTACTCCGACAATTAATCCACAGATAAAAGGGGAAACCTAGTTAGTTTCTAGTAATCTCTCCTCCTTCAGACTTTATATGGCGGTTGGCAACCAACTTTAAGGTGCATTACCACCACCAACAGGACTGGAGTGTGGACCTCAGTTCATCTTTCAATCACCCACTTGGGTATATGCTTCTAAAAATCAATGAGGAGATGGGAGAGGCGGGACTTGCAGTGCGTCAAGCATAAAAATTTTTAACCAAGTTCTATTTTAGCGCCTGGCTACGCAGACGTTCGTTGACGCACGCAAACAGTTTGGATGAAATTATTGAATAACATGTATGTGTACATTTTATTTTGCAACGCGAGCGGTGTGGTCAGCATGTTAAGCGATGCCCCTCATGAACATGAAAAGATCCCCCTTGTTCTAAGAGACTCATAGTCCCACAGTGTCTATCGACCTCAGAACTCGGGGTGTGCCGAGTACTCAGACAAAACGAGTATCGTAACGGATATGGAGAACTTTCCGAATACGATTATGATACAAAGTATTTTTTACAATAAAACGTATTTTTTAAGATGCCAGCACGCATCACTGTCATGTCAGTCAGACAGCGTGAAGGGCTGTGGGCTCTAAATAACTACATTGGCTAGTTCAGCTGTCTGACAATAAATGGGCGGGGTGTAGGTTGAACCAGCTGCAACGATTGGCTTGCGCACCTTTTTTAAATTGGTAGCACAGGTGCTCCTAATTTCAAAAAGTATGGAGCACCAGACAAAATTTAGGAGCACCAGAAAAAAAACATATTTATTTGACTGCAAATGACTGTCCTATCGTTCTTAATCACCAGTTGTTACCTTGACAAAAGTGTGACTGCAAACATATTTACATAGGTGATTAAAAAAGAAGCTTTGTTGTGCAACTGTAAACTGTTATCCATTACTGCAATCAGCTAACAGATAATAGTAGTAATAATAATAATAATAATAATAATAATAATAATAATAATAATAATAATATTGATGTTGTAACCATGCAACATGATGACTATGATCTGATACTTGGATAATGAAATAAATGTTTAGTCTCCTTTCACAATAACTAATACATTTTTTTGATGTAAAATGTTGCTAATAATTCTACTTGTTTTTAGGGCTAGGGTTTAGGGTAGGTGCTGCAGATCATTTTTGTTGAGGGGGAGGAGGGGGGTGCTGAGGAGTATTTCTCCGCTCATACAGGTGTAATAAAGGCCTTTTTTTAATATACTTTTTTTTTTTTTTTCATTAGTCAGAGGGTGCTGCAGCACCCTCAGCAGCCCTACTTCCTGCAGCACCCTCAGCAGCCCTACTTCCTGCAGCACCCTCAGCACCCCTACTTCCTGCAGCACCCTCAGCACCCCTACTTCCTGCAGCACCCTCAGCACCCCTACTTCCTGCAGCACCCTCAGCACCCCTACTTCCTGCAGCACCCTCAGCACCCCTACTTCCTGCAGCACCCTCAGCACCCCTACTTCCTGCAGCACCCTCAGCACCCCTACTTTCTGTAGCACCCTCAGCATCCCTACTTCCTGCAGCACCCTCAGCACCCCTACTTTCTGCAGCAGCCCTACTTCCTGCAGCACCCTCAGCACCCCTACTTCCTGCAGCACCCTCAGCACCCCTACTTCCTGCAGCTATGCTGTTGATCGGCTTGGGTTGCCACCTGTTGCCTGTCAAATGCGGCTGCCTGGTGGTAGACCTAGTGATGTTGCCCCCGCCCCTGCCCCGATGCACTTGATGTGCTTTTGGCTTAAGTTATTGTTTTAGCAACGACTGGTGTTTTAGGTTGCTGGACCCAGTGGCAAAATAAGTATTCCTGCTGCTATTACTCCACACTTTCGACGGTTTTGTCCCTCCTTAGCCACTTAAATTCGTAAAGCCCAACCCTCAAAACATGTTGATCTTTTTTATTTTTCTAAGGAGGAGGAGCGGTAGTTGCAGCATCTCCGACAGTGTCCTCAACATAATCTTCTTCTGGTTGTGGTTGATAATTTTCATAATTTGTTTTTTTGTTAAAGAAAGCTTCAATTCCGCCGCATTTACAGTTGTTGTTCTTGCTAGCTAGCTTGCTAATGCTAATGCCAATACTTAGCTGACCAAACGGGCAGCACAGTTCTGAGCGAAAGTTTGATTGGTTTAATTAGCTACATTTACACATTTGTAGCATTATGATTGGTTATGATTTGTAAACAATCCATCAGCCTGTCTTGTTTGAGCCTGTCTTGTTTGAGCCTGTCTTGTTTGAGCAGTGAAGAGAAGAGTGTCGTGGTGAGTCATATTTAGTTTTTTATTGGATAGTATTTTTGTCGCACGGTGCTCCCAAAATAAAAGTACTGGTCGCACAGAAGAAGAAAAAAATTGCATATGCGAATTGGTCGAAGAGCCCTGGGTATAGGCTTAAAGGCTTTTAAAGCGCAATTCCAGTTTTTCCGATCACAAGTAAATGTGATAAAGTGTGATAAAACGGATACAATTACGAATACGAGTATGACGAAGAAAACATCTCACTGTAAAAAAAAAAATTTGACCGCAGTAATCCCATTAGGTAGAGATCACAAGCAGGATGTGTGCGGCCCAGAGCAGATTTCAGTGTGCTACTCTTAGCTGATAAGATGATAATCGGCCTTACCCCCAGCGTACTGAAATCAACCTCTAATCTCCCAGGATCTAAAGGGAAGCCTCAGGAGGATAGATACACTACCTTTCCTTACAAAATGGCGTTTAGCTACAAAAAAAAATTGGTGGGGAAAATAGAGCTCAAACCTGATAAATCATTAGAAATGTTTGTTTAGGTGAAAAGTTCAATAGCCTACTGGAGAGGAATAAACACGGGGTGAAAGAGACACGGAAAAGGAAAGAAAGAATGGGAGAGAGGAGAGAGGAGGCAGAGCAAGAGACGTATAAAAGAGAAAACAGTGTGTTTTTTAGTTTACAAATCAGTGTTGGAGTGAAACAGAATGGGCGGAGGGGACATTCCTGACTTTTAGCTCGCTTGATGCAGAGACGATGTTCCAAGGTCAAGGCTTAAGGGCTGTGAGGGGAGTGACGAAGGTAGACCAAAGCTACAAGAGCCAAAAGAAGAGAGATTATCTGTTAAAGAGTGGGACTCAGGTATTGACAGCTATTGGTGGTGAAGGGCAGCGCTCCCTAAAGAACCTTGCCACAACCTGTTGGATCCTAGAGTTAAACATAGCATGGCCATAGCCAGTTGTAGGGATTTACCCGATTAATTAGAAATTCAAGCTTTTCTGATCATGACATTATCCTCCATCAGGGAAAGCTGGTGACTTGAAAAATTGAGGAGGACAAAACGTGTTTAAAAGACCATCAAAGACAACTTATTTGAA